CAACATATAGGGATGGGAAGGGACATAATATAGTTTGACTACAAATATCAATGTGAAAACAGAAAAGAATTTTACCTAATGCTTCAAAAGCTTTTTGGAGACCTTTCTAAAGTTTTCTTTGTACAAGATAAACTTGGAAGTGGAAAGCAGATCATGCCTGATATAAGTACAGTGAGACCTCAGTTGACAAACTTTCTACAATTCTGGTTGCAAACTGAATTGGATAAGACCCAAATCAAACTCTCGTCCAATATGGTTTGCAACCAGACTTATGGAAAGAATTAAGTTTGTGAACCAAGATACCAATGTAGCTGAGAACAGAGGCCTATTTAAAAATAGAATGTGGGTACGGACCATATAGATTTTGTCTAGGGTCACATCATCCAGAAAAGATGCAACATGGAAAGAGAGACAACCTGTTAAAATACTCCACTTTACTAATTTTAAAGTTCCATTTCCTCCATGGAACATATATCCTCAGGATGAAGAAGAATAGTATGAGTGGGCAACACTGAAAATAGTTTCTTACAGTTCTCTGAAAGTATTCTATCGCAGGTCTGCACTTAAGGAGCAATTCTTTGACTTGCTAAAGACCTACCCTCTAACATCCACAGTGGTTCCCAAGGAGTATGAAGGAGAAAACATGAACTATTAAGAGGTGTCCTAGAGCCTGTAGCATCAGTTTTCCTTCTGGTGCTGCACACTAAAGACTTTCCAAGTAACAGTTTTCTGAAGATCGGTGAAAGCAAATTACTTCAGTCGGCTCTCTATCCACTCTTACAGCGTTCTGCTAACCCCAATCAAAAGTACTACTCCACTGCTGTGGAGCAGTAATCAGGGTCCTTAGGGAAAGAAGTCGAATCTAGAAACACAAACACTGTCATCTTGTCTCTTAATTTAAGGGAAAGCGTACTCACAAAAATCCCATGCTATTCAGAACCCCTATGCTATTCACAATCCTTGATTTGTGTTAGATGGCATGTCTAGGAAGTTAAAAACTCTTCATGTTCAAGATGAACTTTCTGATTATTGATCTCACACTAGGATAATGTTCATGCTAAGACGATTTGCACTCTCCCAAAATCTACTGGGGAAAAACAACCCTTCATGTTAGGGATAGAGAGAAGCTTTTTACAACTCCGGCATTTGTTTGTTCTGACACACGGTTGTGGCTTTACGTGAAACCTTTCCTGCCTGGACCTCTGCCTCTGCAGAGTCACAGTGATGTCACCAAAAAGTGCACTCATCTAGTGACTGAAGTTTCTCCCATTCCTGCTCTTATTTGTTCTGTGGTTCAGGTCAAGGTGCTTATTATCTGTGGTCCAGTTTCATCAGCTATAACACGTCTGGCAGAACTACAGTTAGGACAAAGCTACTCATTATTATGGTTTCCCACTTACTTTGACGACTTTTGGAAGTACCTCACTTTGATTTGGGTCCTTATAGTCAGTTCAGCATAAATGGCATAGACATTCACAGTTATGAAGATAAACATGTACTTCTATCAAGGGATCTCCCACTCTGTATTAGAAAAATCTTAAATATAAATAAAAGGTCAGAGGTAAGTAGATTGTGCTTCGAGTAAGTTTTGAGTGCAATTGCCATCTAACTTTTGCAGGCTGTGAAATTCTTCTTTAAGTGGATAAATGTGTAGAGCACCTCTCTATTACCCTGTTCAGAACTGAACACCAACTTGACACTTAGAATTAAATTAGAGAAACAAAACTGGATACTTCGAGACTTGAGGGCTGATTACACTACTAGAGCTAAAAGTGGATTTAAACTCTTCCCTTATCCCACTTAAATCTAACTGGGTATACAACTCTCCATTACTGAGGAATAGAGGTGTGTGTGCAGAGGTGGAGGTTCCCCTTGATGTTCTCGGACAAGGAAACCTAATCCTTTTTTCTGACACACATGGTTGCAATAGAGACCATTCCTCAACTGCCAGTCTGGTTTTAATCTGTTGTTTCTAGCAAGACAGTATTTGCAGGGAATGTTAAGCAGAGAGCAAAATTATCAGAACTTAACTATAAAATAAGTGTTGATGAGAAATGAAATTTTAAACAAGTGTTCAAAACTGTAAGCATGAACAAGTGGACATACAATGAATGCTACAAGAAGAGAACTATAAAAGTTTTTAATCTTAAGTGTATCTAAAGTCTGCTTTTAATATATTTATATCTAATTTTACTAAAGTTCTTCAGCTGACTTGAGTGATAGCAGTGGTAAAATACTGCCCTTAAACACAGTTATCAAAATAATACTGTTAGGGAATGTGAAAAATTCAAAGGTGAATTTTCAGTATAATCAAATTTACCACTGTAAAATATGAACTTTTAAAATGTTAACCACTTGCATGGACACATTTCAGAATTTCTGATGAAAGATATAATGACTAACGTAATCTTTCTCTGAAGTTTCATGGTTATCCTTATTAAAATAACCTTAGTAGCCAGGGATTTAGCTCAGTGGTTCTGGTGCCTACCTCACAAGCACAAGGGCCTGAGTTTGATCCCCTA